CACTTGGACCAAGGTGGACAAGGTGGCTGACATCGTTTGAGCTGTATGCAGACGGTAAAGGACTTATTCTGACTAATGATGCCACGGATGCCATTAAGCAGCGGAGGCGCGCTCTTTTACTGCACATGGCCGGACAAGACGTGCAGGACATTTTCTCCACGTTACCGCGAACAGGAGAGGCAACGGATTATGCTGCGGCAGTGACTGCGCTGAACACATATTTTGTTCCACAAGTGAATGCAGCATATGCACGTCAAACTTTTCACAAAATATCCCAGAAACGAGGTGAGACTGTACAACAATTTTGTACTCGCTTAAGGCAAGCTGCCAAGGACTGTGATTTTCGTGGTGATAATGATAACCAAATAAGAGATGCTATCTTGAGTAAATGCACGTCTGAATATGTGCGAAGAAAATTACTGGAGGATGGCCCAGGTTTAACGTTGGCTCGTGCGTTGGAGTTAGCCTCACAATGTGAACGTGTGGAGGAGCAAATGGCGGCGATGAGCATCACCGAGGAAAAGAAAAGCGAGAACACAGTTAACCGGATTGTTACGACAAAGAAAGGAAAGTACATGAAACCAAAAGAAAAAGCGAAAGAGGACAATAAAACAGATAGACAGTGTTACAGATGTGGATTCACCGACCACATGGGAAAAGATCCCAAATGCCCAGCACGTGGACAAACATGTCACAAATGCAATGGTAAGGACCATTTTTCAAAAATGTGTCGCACAAAAAGACAAAAGAAACAAAAAGTAAATACGCTGGATGAATATGCATTTATTGTAAATGATGATAAGGTACCTGATAAACTGTCGTTTTCTGTGGGGGGAGTTGAGTTAAAAATGTTGATTGACTCTGGTGCTACAAGTAACATAATGGGAGAAAATGTATGGGAAAAACTCAAAGCTGAAAAGATAAAATGCTGCTCATATGTACTTAAAGAGCAGAGGAAGCTATATGCTTATTCTTCATCACAAGCATTGACCATTAAAGGAGCATTCAGATGTGAAGTAAAGATCGGCAACAAGASAGAGGAAGCAGAGTTTATTGTCATAAAAGGCAATGGTGAACCACTTTTGGGAAAAATGACTGCTGTAAAACTAGGGGTACTGAAAATAGGAGAAAATGTGGCGACTGTCATAGAATTGAAAAACACTCTTCAAGAACAGTACCCAGCTGTGTTTAAAGGAATAGGAAAGTTAAACACAAAACAAATCAAGTTGTACATCAACRCAGAAGTGAAACCAGTAGCACAACCGTTGAGACGCATACCATATCATTTAAGGGATGCAGTGGAGAAAAAGATAAACGAGCTGATTGAAATGGATATTGTAGAGCAGGTAGAAGGACCTACACCATGGGTGAATCCTGTTGTGATACTGCCAAAGAAAAACGACAAAGACATAAGACTGTGTTTAGACATGAGAAGAGCAAATGAAGCAATAATCAGAGAAAGATACCCCATCCCTACAGTGGATGAAATACTCCAAGGATTAAATGGATCTGCAATTTTCAGCAAACTAGATCTCAAATGGGGATATCACCAGTTGGAGCTGACCCCAGAGTCCAGAGAGATCACGACATTTGCAGTGCACAATGGAATATACAGATACAAAAGACTGATATTTGGTGTTTCATCAGCCAGTGAGCAATATCAGCATGAGATCGCCAATGCGCTGGCAGGCATCGAGGGAGTAGAAAACATTTCAGATGATGTGATCATACATGCACCAGACCAGGAAACACATGACAAGCGCCTGCATGCTGTCATGAAGAGACTTGCMGAATGTGGTTTGACATTAAACCCAGAGAAGTGTCAATTCAATATGGACAGACTGATATTCATGGGAATACTGTTGACACAAAAAGGCATTGGACCAACAACAGAACGAGTGAGAGCTGTAGTGGAAACAAGAGAACCAAAGAATGCTGCAGAGGTGAGAAGTTTTCTTGGATTAGTAGGTTTTAGTAGCAGGTTCATTCCACAGTTTGCCACACTCTCAGAACCRCTAAGACGTCTAACTCGAAAAGAGACTACATTTATGTTTGGTCCAGAGCAAAAGACAGCATTTGAAACTTTAAAAGCTGAGCTAGCCAAAGCAGGGACTTTAGCTTATTTTGACAAAGAAGCCTCAACCAAAATCATTGCGGATGCAAGTCCAGTAGGTCTCGGCGCAGTACTGATACAGGAACAGAAAGGTGAAGAGGTACCCATATGTTATGTAAGTCGSTGCTTGACAGACTGTGAACGCAGGTACTCTCAAACAGAAAAGGAAGCCCTGGCGCTGGTTTGGGCATGTGAACGACTACACCCATATATCTATGGTAGAAGATTTGACCTAGTTACAGACCATAAGCCTCTAGAGGTCATATACAGTCAGCGGTCCAAACCATGMGCACGAATAGAGAGATGGGTTCTCAGATTGCAACCGTATGACTTCAAAGTGGTGCARGTTGCTGGAAAACTAAACATTGCTGACTCACTGTCAAGACTGTTATCAGACAAGATAACACAAGAGACACACACACATGAGTATGAGGAGTATGTGAAATTTGTTGCTGTAAATGCAACTCCAAAATCACTTACWACAAGACAGGTCGAGGAGGCATCTGCCACYGATCCAGAGTTAACAGAGGTGCGAAGAGCAGTTGAAAATGGACYTTTTGAAAAATGCAAAGCATACGCACCTATTGCAAATGAACTGTGTGTTGTGGGATYCATAGTTTTGAGAGGAACKCGCATTGTGCTGCCAGAAAAGCTCAGAGCTAAAGCGGTTGRATTGGCGCATGAAGGACATTTAGGAATTGTAGGAACAAAACAACGTCTCAGGACAAAAGTATGGTGGCCTGGAATGGACAGAGCAACAGAAAAATATTGCAAAACATGTCATGGATGTCAATTAGTGGCCAGACCTGATTCACCAGAACCGGTGAGGAGCACACTTTTGCCTGACGGACCGTGGCAAGATGTGGCAGTAGACTTACTGGGACCATTACCTTCAAATCACTCCATTCTTGTGCTGGTAGACTATTACAGTCGTTATTATGAATATGATGTGTTGTCATCTACAACGGCAGAGAAAGTCATTGACTCCATTGACAGTATGTTTAGTAGACATGGTTTACCAGTTTCTATTAGATCAGATAATGGTCCGCAGTTTAAATCAGATTTATTCAAAGAATACTGTGAGAARAATGGAATCAAACATGTGAGAACAACTCCAAAATGGGCTCAGGCCAACGGCGAAGTTGAACGTCAGAACGCATCACTGATGAAGAGGATCAGGATTGCACAAGCAGAGGGACTGGACTGGAAACGTGAATTAAGAAAATATGTCACAGCTTACCGCAGTATTGAACATGCAACCACAGGCAAAAGTCCAGCAGAACTTCTATTCAACAGAAAAATGAGAGGAAAATTACCGGACATGAGTGAAACAAACACAGTTGCATTGGATGTYCGCGACAGAGACGCAGAACAGAAAGGAAAAGCAAAGAGTTATGCTGACATCCGAAGAGGAGCTCAATATTCAAAAGTGGAGCTGGGAGACACAGTGTTGGTTCAACAGGAAAAAGTGGACAAGTTCACAACATCATTTAATGCATCACCCCACAAGGTCGTGAGCAAAACAGGAAACCAAGTCGTGGTTGAATCACCAACAGGAGCTCGGTATCACCGAAACACAACACATGTGAAGAAATATGAGATTAAGGAAGGAGATTATGGACAAGAAACTTTANCTGGTGAAAATTTCATGTCATTAGCACCTCTAGTAATATATTTACTGAGAAAAATGGTGACGTGTTCAATACTTATTTTACCCACTGTATATATAAACAGTTTACTGGCAGAGGGACACAGTGAGGGTCAGGTTTTTAACTGTTGGAATGTGATCCAAAGGAAGATGGATGGTCACAAATCATCAAACAGCTGAGTTGATTGAATTTTGGTGCCAAGAGTGGAAAAAATTTCCCTAAAAGCAATGTGAACGACTGGTGGAGAGCAAGCCAAGAGGCATGAAAGAAATACTTAAAGAGTAAGGTTACTCTATCAAATATTGATTTTTGATACTGCTCAACGTTCAAACAGTATTTGATGTCGGATAACTTTGCACCTTTTCTTATTGGTGCTCCAAATGTCAAGAGTGTTATCTAAAATTTGGTAGAAGTGTTGTTATTTGGTTGCAGAATAAAACAAAAATGTTCATTTTACTTAAGCACATATTAATAATAAAATCAGAAAAACAAAAGGAACTGTTTTGCAGTTGTCTCCTAATTTGTTCCAAAGTTATATTTTTCTAACAAACAACAGTTTGACTCAGTTAATGCGAAAGATTTCAGAAAATATCTTGTGGATGACTTTCAGTTACAGACACACCAAAGTTTATCTCAATAGTTGTAAAACTGACTGAATTATAATTGTTTTGGAGGTTTCTTCCTGGTGAAAAGGAGTTGTTTCTTTCTACTGTCACCAATGTGCTGCTCAGGATGAGTGACTGTGATGAAGTGATTCAACACAATCTGTTGGCTTCCTAAGACTGACAACTTTTACTATGTGATCTTTATCAGGACCTGAGACGATGTTAGTTGTGACTTAGTGCTACAAAAATAAACTGAATTGAATTCTTGTGTTTTCTAAAGGCCATTTTGCTGCATCAGCAAACTTGGGTTGGCATAACTTTTTGAATTTCAGTCCAGTGGTTCATGAGCTAGACATTTTAGTAACAAATATATACACTAGCACAAGGCCAAAAACATGACTGTCCACCTTTCAGTGGATGAAAACAGACTGAGTACATTTAAACCGAACCAGCTTTTATTACCACCTCTGTCACAGTTGTTGCACAAATAAAACGTTTAAGTTTATTGTGATAAAAAAAGTCCTCATAGCCTCATGTCATCTACCCAGTCTGTGAGCAGTGAGTGGTGAGCCACTGTTAAAATTTGTCCTTTTCACCTTTTAAAGGGATCCCTGATTAGTTGTAACATTAAACTTTATTTGATAAACATATATTTTAACTGTAAAATAAAGCTTTTATTACCACCTCTGTCACAGTTGTTGCACAAATAAAACGTTTAAGTTTATTGTGATAAAAAAAGTCCTCATAGCCTCATGTCATCTACCNGTTCATATATCTAAAAATAAATTACTTTATTTTGAGAGATCTGTTCAGGTCACAAGTTCTTTTCTCATTCATGATCAGAGGGGTGTTTCATTATTTCTGATTTCATTTCTGCAAGGTCTTGTGGGACATGACTTTATGAGATTAAGCTGGTATTAGTCTCATGGAGCAGGTTCTTACATCTGAGTCGAGTTCATGAAAACTCTGGGAAAGCTGCAGAGGTCCAAGGCTCAGGAGGGACGATCTGTCCACAACACAACGATTAGTTGTGCTTGAAAAGTCTAACCCTTACGGCAGAGGGGATAGAAGAAAATGATGGATAAAAGGAAAACAGAAAAAGTCCTGTTTGCAGTTTGTCTCAAGCCATGTGTCGTATGACCCTGAACACACCATCCTGACTGTGAAACGTTGTGGCAGCTGCGTCTCCCAGTGATGCTCTTCAGCAGGAACAGGGGAGCTACTCAGAGTTGATGGGAGGACTGGACCTGTATCACTTCATTAGTGATACTGTCTTGTCTCTGCGTTTTGCAGATGAAATAGTTCTGATACCTTCAGGTCATGGCTATTAACAAGAATGGGACAGTCTGAAGATGAGTGTACAACAGTTACAATTAGAGCTGGGCCATATGACCCAAATTTTATATCACGGTATTTTCAACATTTACACCAGTTTCACGGTATATCATGGTATTTTTCTTTTCATCACAGCTCAGCTGATAATAAAATGTACAAACACCGCTTATTAACCTTTTTCTTTTACCGTATCTCTGTCTGTGTGTCTGTTTCCCTCCTCTGTGTGTCTTTTCTCTGACTGGTGGTTGCAGACAGTAGTCATCATTTTGGTCCAGTCGTGAAGGAGGAGGGTTAAGAAAAGATTATTATCGGGTTTATTGTTTTATGTTGTCTAATAAAACTTATCAGGACGACTCACCTTGCACACCAGTCAATCAATTCCACTACAAACTACTTCCCCCGGGCTTTTCACAATAAAAGCACGTTAAAGTCTCCATGTGTCTCCACGTCTCCACATTAACGTCGCGTGTTTAACGTCACTGAAGAGGTGTTTACTACATTAAGCGATGGCAAAAATGGGATTTTTTTTTTTTTACGTAAGCCAATATAAGCAGCAGAATTGCCACCCGCTGCTGCAATAACATTAGCATGCTAATGCACATAGCGGTGTTGCGAAGAAAAGTGTCCCTCGGGAAACAGTTCACTGGCTGCCGTGACGAAACGTTCCGCACATGTTCAGGCTATTTAAACCGGTATGTCAGTATTCAGAAAATTCATATAACAAAAATAAAAATGGTATTCGGTATGAACTGGTATACCACCCAGCACTAGATACAATGATAGTCAACTCCTGTACATCTGGGGCCATGGTTGTAAACCTAACATGGAAGGAATGCCCTTCTGGTCAGGAAACGGTCTTTGTTTTAGGTTGAGGAGTTTAAGTTTCTGGCCATTTTGTTAAGTGATGGTTGGATGACATGGGGGATGGATCAGTGAATTGGCAACTCATCCAAAATTATAAGGACATTGCTTCAATTAATCAAGATGAAGAAAGAGATGAGTCAATAAACAAAGCTCTTTACTATGGTTCTGTCTACATACAAACCTTCAGCTGTGATCACGTACTGTATGAATCATGACCAAAAGAACAAGACCCTAAAAACGTGGAGCTTGTCATTGAGGGGCAGATCAGAAATACTGCTTCTTTTGTTATGAATCCACCTTGTCATCCCTGTGTTTTCCTAACCTTGTTATATTTCGTGCCACAGCTTTAGCCTCAGTCTTTTGTTTTATTTTCTTAAAGTCATGTATTTTTAACAACCCTAGTTCACAGCCTCAGCCTGCTTCTGCTCTGTGTTTTTCCCCTCCCATCACAATGTCACCACAGCCCCGCCTTCATGCAATCAGCTTCATGCAGCTCACCTGTTATTCCCAGTATAAAGCCTTGTCATCTACTCTCAGTCTCTGCTAGATTTTCATGTGCTCTGCTATGAACTTCCCGCAATCTTGTACCTTGTCCCTCGTTAGTCCTGATTCCCTGATCCTGCTCATGCTCCTCGGTTTCATGATCTGTGCCTTAGCCCTTGTCGGATCCCTCCTGTAATCTGCTTGCCTGGTAATGACCCCTGCTTCACTTCCTGGTTTTTTGGCTCTTGGATTTACCCTCCTCAGCGCGACGCTTCATCGGATTACACGGCTCTCGACCCCTGCTCAGTTTGCGAACCCACGACTCAAGCCTGCTCCACGTAGTCTGGTAATTCTTTTGGTTTTGATCCTTGCTTACCCCTGGACCCAGTTCTTGCCTGTTGGACTCAAACACCAAACAATACAGAACGGTGACAACATCACACTTTCTCGGACCCTTTCTACCCAAATCAGTGTTTGTGTATGGAACACCCAAACAAACACCAGGTCAGTGGCTTTGTGTCTTCTCTCAGTCAAAGTTCACATTGATGCTGTTATTAATAGTTGGTTTTTTTTGTGTGTCCAGAAGTTCCAGTCCAGTTTGATGTCCTGATCCAGAACCACACCAAAGCCTTGCACATTAATAATAAAATCTGTAAAAACTGTTTTTGAGTTTGGCATTAATTCAGAGTTCAAAAACTGGTTCTTATCATCTTTAGATTAAAAGAAAGTCAGTTAAAGTTGTTTGAGATTGTGTATCCTCTCTGACCTGGCAACATCTGACATCTGGTAACACAACAGGAGGAGCTGGAGTGTGTCACTGGAGACAAGGGTGTCTGGGGTTTACCTTCTGGGCCTGTTGACCCTTTGACCCCATGAATAAGTTGAAGATGGATGGATGGATGGATGGATACATGGATGGATGGATGGATACATGGATGGATGGATGGATACATGGATGGATGGATGGATACATGGATGGATGGATGCATGGATGGATGGATGGATGGATGGATGGATGGATGGATACATGGATGGATGGATACATGGATGGATGGATACATGGATACATGGATGGATACATGGATGGATGGATGGCTGGATAGATGGATGGATACATGGATGGATGGATACATGGATGGCTGGATAGATGGATACATGGATGGATGGATGAATGGATGAATGGATGGCTGGATAGATGGATGGATGGATGGATGGATGGATACATGGATGGATGGATAGATGGATACATGAATGGATGGCTGGATACATGAATGGATGGCTGGATAGATGGATACATGGATGGATGGATGAATGGATGAATGGATGGCTGGATAGATGGATAGATACATGGATGGATGGATGGATGGATGGATGGAAGGATGGACGGATGGATGGATGGATGATTGATGGTTAGATGCGTGGGATATTGTTCTTTTTTTCAAAATGATAAGCATTTTTTAAAATCCTACTCATGTATTTTGTAATGGGGATAAAACACTACAGTATTTATGATTTAAAACAATTTTATAAGACAAATATGGACCAACCTAAGCCAGTGGGTGTAAAAGCCCTTCCTAATTAAATGATTCACAGTCTCACACCGTGGCTTTAGTGTGAAGACAACACTGAAACTGCATCAAGCAGTTCTGGGGAAAGGAACCCATAAGGCTAATGGAATTGGGTTCTGACGTTGTTTTGGAAAGCTGTGCAACATGGCATTCTTCAAATGCAAACAGCAACACAGACCTCCACAYACTGCAGGATAATAGAACACACTCCATCAGGCCCAGGAGGAACAGATGCCAGGAAAAAACAAGGACGGCTCTGTGAATGATGATTACGGTCACCTTCGTCATAAATCACCATCCATGAGAAGATAACTTGGATGAGGATGGCAGCACAGCAGGCTGACAGATCCCTGCACCATCCCCAGAGTTCCCTCTTCTGCTCAACCTCCTCCTGCCTTTCTGCCCCCTGCTGCCTTTGCACTTTCTTGCTAAACCAGCAATTAATCCATGCTGCAATGACCTAAACATTTCACTGTAAGTTGCAAAAATCAGGCTGAACATCCTGAAAGTTAAAGAAGGATCAGACTAAAGTTATCAGAGGTTAAACAAAAAAGGAATGAGAGTAAGATACAGGGTTGGCCTGAGGTTGTAAGAGRCTCAGTAGAAATACATTTTAGGACAGGTTTCAATTAATCCCATTGGTCACACACAGCAACACCTGTTTATTTTATCCATGTTTGTGTATTTATCGGTTAAGTACAATGAGTTCCCTAAACTGACTGAATGAAGAATGTTTCCTTTGACATCACATCAGTCACTTATATTATCTTACAACTGAATACTTAGAATGAACAGCTTATATTAAACTTTTTTTACCTTTACTTTCCATAATCCTTCTGTAGCTTTGCTGAGTTCAGAAACAAACAGTATAAAATATCTGAACACAAGTTAAAAATGATCAGACTGTATACTTTGCGCCTCTGTGACTGTATGATAAGGAGCCTGCTCACACAGAGGAAAAAACCTTTACAAAATTCATGTAGAATATACACTGCCTGGCCAAATATACTATATATATATNAAAAAAAAGAAAACGATTAATCGATTATTAAATTAGTCATCGATTATTTTAATAATCGATTAGTCGTTGACTAATCGTGGCAGCCCTAGTGTATTCATATATCATCAAATCATTGAAAAACTAGAATGTTTTTTTCTCTGTCAAGTGGGGGAGAATTAATGTATGCTGGTAATATTCGGCGATGAATTCACTCACTCTGTTTTACTGTAAGAATGACTTTAACAAATGTGTCAGCACCAACTCTTTCTATTCCACACCAGTAGGTTCCAGAGTCTTCCAGTTTCAGATCTGAGATGGTCACATAAAAAGTGTTTCCTTCATCCTTTATACTGTATTTCCCACTTGAGTCCGGCTTCCTGCTGGTTATTAGGACGTCTCTATCAGAACATGCTCCACTGCAGAAATATTTGACGTTGGTGTCAGCGTAGGAATGAACACATTTTATCGTGACCTTTTGTCCCACGTCTCCTGTTAGGGCCTCAGTCTCCCACAACCCTAAACACACACAGACAGCAGCAACAACACCTTATGTTTTACTTTTCACAAACTCAAATGTCAAAACATAAACATGTCTTATTCTACAAAACTGTAATTTAGGATTATTATCTTCAGGGATTTATTATACAAAAGTACATTTTAACAATCAAAAGAAACACAAAACGTATTTCTTTGTTGGAATAATGGAATAAATAAGGCGACAAATCTCATTTTGTTGGAAAACCAGTTTATTTCCTTTTCAATTAGGGATGCAATAATTRCTGTTATGGCCGATAACCAGTATTTACCGATATTACACAAACACACAAATTACATTATACATATACTCACAAACACACTTGGGTCTTATTTTGATACTGTAAATTAACAATCAGACCTCTGACATGGCTCTACTTCAGTTATTCCTGGCTGCAGCATCAATATCACTATCATGATCAAACAGATGCTGCTCAACCAAACATCTCCCCTCCCAGAACAGAAACCCAAAATGAAAAAGTGGGAAATAAATATCTGATTTAATCCAGTTTTACATATCGAAACTACACTCACCGGCCACTTTATTAGGTACACCACGCCAGTAACGGGTTGGACCCCCTTTTGCTTTCAGAACTGCCTCAATTCTTCGTGGCATAGATTCAACAAGGTGCTGGAAGCATTCCTCAGAGATTTTGGTCCATATTGACATGATGGCATCACACAGTTGCCGCAGATTTGTCGGCTGCACCTCCATGATGTGTGTTCATAAAGGGATGGACATGGTCAGCAACAATACTCAGGTAGGCTGTGGCGTTGCAACGATGCTCAGTTGGTACCAAGG